ACAAACACAAAGAAAAAGTGAACGTTGCGGCTACAAAGCATTCTTCAGTACATACACAGATTAGACAATACTACACAAACACACAATACCAATTATCTTCGTATCTCGTGGCAGTCAGGTCGATGTCAAGACAATAGTCTCGCAGGGCACGTGGGGCCGGGAAAATGAATATCCGGAGATATGCCAGAGGCCGTCACTCGAGGACGAGATGAAACTGTGTAGGCATTTCAGCCCCCTAGGATTTACATGAAACTGTGTTGGCAGTTTAGTCTACTGGGCGCTAGAGTTCCCAAAGTGTAAATAAAGCGATTTTCAAGAGACTTGCCAACTATGTCGCTGGAGTGGCTAGATTTAATGACTGTCACCTCTATGTCGTGGACACCTTAATGGTCCTGGGAATTGAAAAGCAGTGGTACTGTTTTCGGGGCGCCGTTCTGTAAGTCCAAAAAATGTTTTCTGAACCTGTCAGCCAGCTGTAAACCCGTTTCACCGATGTATTCACATACGTTAATTATACTACTGCGTCTGCATATGTCCTCACTTAGAATAACAGTAAACCATTGCTTTGTGGTGGAGTGTATTTTTTGCCAGGGAAGACATGGTGTGTTTCACGGCTAGAAATAAAAAGACAAAACTAAGGGTCAGAAGGAAAATGTGCGCATTTGCCAGGAATGAGAAAAAGTAGTTATCGCAACAAACAGATACGGGCTAGTGCGTTGTAAACAAATAGGCTCTTTGTCTTCGCTTTAAGAATAATTACTATATTGTGTTTGCCCCCGTATTATTTTATAGAATAATCGACCCCGATGCAGATTGGTCAATACGCCTTCCACCTCTTTTTCCAATAATATTTTCTGGTACATTTTGTAAAACTATGTTGACCCGAGGTCCAGATCATTTTCAAGAAATCCTTATCTTCACAGGGATCGATCACATGATTTCCAAGCCCGCCCTGTGCTCTTCGGGGGAGAGAGGCTGTAGCTAACCATTCTGCGAAGGCGAAGTAGTCAAGCCGTTTGCCTCGCATTCTGAAGGTCGTGGGTTCGCTCCACAGTTGTGGCCTTCAGTTCACGGGTGCAATTCTAAGGAGCTCCCTGTGGATCGTCACCCGAGCTACGGAGTTCGGGCTCTGCGCGGCGCTTTCGACAGGCGGCAGGCAGTTCTGCGGAGAGAGACGGAGTCATATGGGATATAACCTGGCAATGTAGTCGATCCGTTCGACTTTAACCTTTTATTATTCAGAGAAAGACAGCAGTTTCATGATAAAACCTGGTGCCATGGCGTCGATCCTTTCGACGTTAAAAGTGTTAGACAAGAAGTACACACACGACCCAGTAGTGTCACTGTGACATGCTGTCAGGTCGTTCACAGCTGCGAGTTCGTGTGGTATGAGACGTATGCACTGGGCGGATTCTTACACCGACACATGTAAGAAAGTCGGACCCTGGGCTCAATACTGAACAGTTTATTGCGGATCTGCAGGCGTGAACAAGCCCAAGTGAAAAGAAGCCGTACTTTGAATGCCTTGACAGCATTGACTTGCTAGGTATTCCGAGAATGTGCAGGCGTCGTGTGTGATACTTGTAGATCTATTCAACATGTCTGAGCCACAAGGAAATCCTTTTGTATACAATAATTCACTGTGATCTGACTAGAGCATTCCTTCTAAGGAATCTGTGAGAGCACAATAACATACTGTCTTTTTGTGTTGTGCTTTCTGGTAATGAAATCTCCATGTTGTAGTGGCTAAACCGTTTGCCTAGTGTTCTGCTCGTTGGGAGTTCGAATACAGGTTTGTCAGAAACCCCTGTCAATCGTCGCTGGAGCTATTGAGTTTCGTGCTGTGTGCGACGCTCTCTATAGACGGACAACCGCTTTACTGAGACAGAACCAGCCAAATAAGGAAGGGGGGGGGGGGGGGGGGAAACAGTGCACTAAAGAAGGTTAGGGCCTGCGTGCCCAATCTGTGACTTTTTGAGAAGAAAAAAGTTATATCTATCTATCTATCTATCTATCTATCTATCTATCTATCTATCTATCTATCTATCTATCTATCTATCTATCTATCTATCTATCTATCTATCTATCTATCTATCTGTCTATCTGTCTGTCTGTCTGTCTGTCTGTCTGTCTGTCTGTCTGTCTGTCTGTCTGTCTGTCTGTCTGTCTGTCTGTCCGTCCGTCAGTCCGTCTGTCCGTCAGTCTGTCCGTCAGTCCGTCTGTCCGTCAGTCCGTCCGTTAGTCTGTCCGTCCGTCCGTCCATCCGTCCGTCTGTCTGTCTGTCTGTCTGTCTGTCTGTCTGTCTGTCTGTCTGTCTGTCTGTCTGTCTGTCTGTCTGTCTGTCCGTCTGTCCGTCTGTCTGTCTGTCTGTCTGTCTGTCTGTCTGTCTGTCTGTCTGTCTGTCTGTCTGTCTGTCTGTCTGTCATCTGTCTGTCTGTCCGTTTGTTCGTTCGTCTGTCTGTCTGTCTGTCTGTCTGTCTGTCTGTCTGTCTGTCTGTCTGTCTGTCTGTCTGTCTGTCTGTCCGTCCGTCAACCGTCTGTCCGTGTCTGTCCGTCAGTCCGTCTGTCCGTCAGTCCGTCCGTTAGTCTGTCCGTGTCCGTCCATCCGTCTGTCTGTCTGTCTGTCTGTCTGTCTGTCTGTCTGTCGTCCTGTCTGTCTGTCTGTCTGTCTGTCTGTCTGTCTGTCTGTCTGTCTGTCTGTCTGTCTGTCTGTCTGTCTGTCTGTCTGTCTGTCTGTCTGTCTGTCTGTCTGTCTGTCTGTCTGTCTGTCTGTCTGTCTGTCTGTCTGTCTGTCTGTCTGTCTGTCTGTCTGTCCTGCATCTGTCTGTCTGTTTTGATTCGTTCGTTCGTTCGTGTCTGTCTGTCTGTCTGTCTGTCTGTCTGTCCTGTCTGTCTGTCTGAACAGTCTGTTATGACTGTCTGTCATCTGTCTGTCACAGTCTGTCTGTCTGTCATTTTTCCTTCTATTTAGATTCCGTTCACAATTCTACCTCTGTTGACTTATGACCATTCATTTCACACACCAAAATTCTTCAATTCCCAGCAGGAATGTGCCCTTATGACCTTTCGCCGAGACTCCCAAATATTGTTTTGCCACGGTCCATCTCCTCGAGGTCACACTCCACGTTCACACAACAATAAAGCCATATATTACAAAGCAAGGCCATTCATACGCCCTCATCCCTGGCATATTTTCAGATCAGCATAGCCGAGTATATCCATTTCACCCAGGTTCTGTTATGCGAATTATGCAAATCAGTGTCAAACAACAAGATATTTAAGGAGGCTTTAAGAACTGATTGCATCAGACTTTAAATACCTGTGCCGAACCGTCCAGGAAATATAGATGAAGTGATAACTTTAGTTCAGGCTCGTTATAACTTTAGTTCAGACTCGTTATGCCGTGACAGGCAATTCGATGCGAAGACTTACGTGACCTTTCTAAACATATACTTCTCCATTATAATATGTGATTTGCACATAAGCTTGTTTATGAAAAACAAAAATGTGGCTTGCTCTCACGTTTACACCGATGAAGACAGTGTAGATCTACATCAATTTAACAAATGCGAAGTGAACAAATTAAAAGCAACGGAGATGTGGTTTCTGAGACGGATGTTACGAATACCTTGGACGGCCAGAGTAATTAACAACCGTTGCTTGAAAGAAACTGTTGAAAGTAGATCCTATATACAACAATAAGAAAGAAACAAACACTGTTCTTTGGCCACATAATGAGAAGAGAGACATTACAGAACATCGGGACAACTGGAAATATCAGTGGGAAAAGGGGTAGAGGCAGACCAAGAGTGATGACGCTGGATGGGCTGAAACGATGGAATGAAGGGATATCATCAAGAGAGCGGTTTCAGGCAACCTGGGATCGTGATCTGTGGAGACGCATGAGCGCCTACGCCAGCAGGCAGGGCACATGGTGATGACGATGATGAATAGATTAGCTCAACAAAATCCAGCTTATGAATGACAATGACACTACAACATGAAGTATGAGAATAGAGATTGAGGAAGTCACTGCAGCTCTTCATTGGCTTCAGAGCCAGCACCACATACTTGCCTGGCGCAGGAATCTGCAGCTCAGGCTCCTTGAGTGCCTTTTTTTTTAAATCTTAGAAGTTTTATTTATTTCATCTACGAAGGATCACTTTATTTTTATATACACACACACACACACACACACACACACACACACACACACACACACACACACACACACACACACACACACACACACACACACACACCACACACACACACACACACACACACACACACACACACACACACACACACACACACACACACACACACACACACACACACACACACACACACACACACACACACACACACACACACACACACACACACACACACACACACACACACACACACACACACACACACACACACACACACACACACACACACACACACACACCACACACACACACACACACACACACACACACACACACACACACACACACACACACACACACACACACACACACACACACACACACACACACACACACACACACACACACACACACACACACACACACACACACACACACACACACACACACACACACACACACACACACACACACACACACACACACACACACACACACACACACACACACACACACACACACACACACACACACACACACACACACACACACACACACACACACACACACACACACACACACACACACACACACACACACACACACACACACACCACACACACACACACACACACACACACACACACACACACACACACACACACACACACACACACACACACACACACACACACACACACACACACACACACACACACACACACACACACACACACACACACACACACACACACACACACACACACACACACACACACACACACACACACACACACACACACACACACACACACACACACACACACACACATGTCATACTTTTTGCTGAAACCACTTGATGGATTCCTCTTTCGAGATTCTGTGTTTGGCTCCAGTCGAACTCTGTCTGCGCCTGCGCTGACTGATGTTTAATCCTGGCCTGCCTAGAACAACGTAGAAGTCCATGCCGTAGATGCCGATGCTGGGGTCGTACTTGATGCCCAGGTCAATGTGCTTCTGGATCCCAAAGCCAAAGTTGCCAGTGGCAGAGAAGTTGTTCTTCCTCGGCTCATACTCCCGCACCTTCAAACCCTTCTCCAGAATCTCCTCAGCCTTGGCACCTCGGACAGTACAGTGAACAGCAATCTTCTCGTTACGACGGATTCCAAAGGATCTGACAGTGTAGCGGGCTTTTGAAAAGACCGGTGTCTGTCCTGTCAGCTGCTCAGCGACTTTGGCAGCTCTGGTTAGTCTGTCATCAGACTCAGACTCCCCCCCCCCCCCCCCCCCCACACACACACACACATGTTCACACACAGTTTGCGCTGATTCTGAGGTCACACATCACGTTCGCTCGAGCCTTTTCGGCGTCACTTTTTCGACATATTTACAAACAGAAGCGCCTTCCCTCTTTTTCCCCAAAAAGAATTACAGGAGGCTAAGCCCAAATTGTGAAGGACTTAAGTGCACCCCCTGTATCCATAAACAGACATTGTTTTCACAAGTATTTGTTCGTATATTACATACGGTTTAAATAAATTATTATATTATTGTTTTAATACAGCTCATTTTTATTATTATTATTATTACGCTCTTAAACTAGGATACTAAATTACACCACCTTCACCCCCCGCCACCTTTTCCACCTAGAGAATGTGTAAGAGTGGGATGTGGTCACTGGGCGGACAACGTCACCGTGATATTTTCTAATAGGGCTCCTGCACATTTTTTATCACAACGGACTCACAGAGCATTTGTAGAAAGATTTAGGGCAGAACGGGAAACATCCTTTCAGAGATGGTAGATAGGATTTGATTTGATTTGATTCAATAACGGACATCACAGCACCCGGGACATTCCAATAAGCGCTCCGTTCCCATCTTCAGCAGCAAGCGAAGAGTTCCGATACTAATGTTGCCAGTAGCATTCTGATTAAACGTCCGTCTTGCCTTTCCTCTGAGCCTCGAGCATCTGCCAGAACCTCTCGTTACTCCCCGCTACATCAATCTCACCAGACTGTGGTGATCCATCTGCTCCTCCGAACTGTACACGCTTTCCCACAAGCACTAACCACGTCTGCATGGTAGATAGGAAGCATAATGTAGATCATTTTATTAGGGTATATAGGCATAGTGGAAACAAACGTGCATACATACTAGCTGATTCTGCTCCAATGGGTGGTGAACTGTTTCACGACACGGTAGATGATATCAGGGCTCTTCGAGTGCTTATAAAGACTTGAAGGACTCTTTCTACGACTTCAAGCACATTATCCATATAGACCTATATTTTATGGACCAATGTGATGTAGTCAACATCGTGTCCGACGCCTTCACTTCCTAGTAGGGCTGTACCGAATATTCGCTTTGTATTCGCTTCGGGGCCGAATAGTGGACCTATTGACTATTCGGTATTCGGCCGAATTGTTGCGTCGGGCCGAATACGAATAGTAGTTACCTTACACCCGCTTCTGCATACACGGCCTTCATACTGACAACATGGAACGATTGGTTTTGTTGAAAGCTAATGCAGCTTTCATGCATTACCTAAGCTGTCAGTGACTATTTCCAAGTTTAGTTGCTTGTTAAAATACTTGGGATTCTTTCATTCCTATTTATTAAGTACCACAGACTGACTGAAGGATGCAAAACATAAAATGTTTTAAATGTTTACTATTCTGTACGAATACTAACTAGACATGGGAAGAATATAAACTCCGGCCACATCCAAGTCGATAATATGAAAATCAAACAAACGGAAACATTGTACTTGCGTGCAAACTTCAACTGCTCCAACATGCTGAGAGAAGAAATACAATCTAGAATTCAATCTAGAAATCAAGTATACTATGCCCTTCAACATCTGCTAAAGTCAAAGTGCTGTCTCGAAACACCAAGATCAAAATATTTAAAACGTTGATAAGACCAGTCGTGTTATATGGCTCTGAAACTTAAAGCAGAAATAAAAGAGATGAGGCCTCATCAAATGTTTTCGAAAACAGTCTTACGACAAATCTTTGGACCCATCAAAGATGCTAACAGCGGGTTATGGAAAGTGAGAAGCAACAACGTAACACATAATCTGTTTAAATCACTATTGATCACTGGCATCATGAGAGCTAACAGACGAAAATGGTTGGGGCATATTGAAAGAAGGTCAGATGACAGAGAAGTAAAATTGTATACACCCGAGAGAGAAAGGGGCGTAGACCACGAGGCAGACAAAAAAGAAGTTCGAGAGATAATGTCCAGCCAGACCTGCAAACAACTGGTATCAACAATTGTGAAGAGAAGGCCTGCCAGAGAGATGAATGGAGACGAGTGATATCTGCAGCAGTAAACCTCAAGGGCTCAGAATGCTAAAGAAGAAGATGACTATTCTGTGCTACTTTATGTGAAGTAAAAGTTCAGCGTACATTTGACATTATGAATATTCGTATTCGGCCGAATGGTTGGTCCCGTTATTCGTATTCGGCCGAATAGTGAAAATCAATATTCGGTACAGCCCCACTTCCTAGAACTTCACCTGCTAACCATTTAAGGTCGGGTCTACTTGGGAGTCACGGTTATTTTTAAAGAAAAACAAATTCGACACCGTCAGGACCTGAACCACATTAATTTCCGATCTAGCTGCTGCACCACGGCGGCTTCCAAGTGAATAATACGGTAACGCAAATAAATCATTTTGGTCTAGAGAGATTTCTTTGGCCCTGCACAATCAGGTCTGACGGTATAGACCCAAGTCATTACCTACAGGAGGTCAGACACAGTAGCCAGGAACCATGCGGTCATTCATTTCTTGTAGCCAGCGATCAAGAGGTTAAATACGGTAGCTAGGTACCATGAGGTCATTTACTGTAGGCAGGGATCAGGAAGCTAGATACTGTACCCAGGGATCCCTAGTGTGGATTCCGGGCCTCTGCTTTAGAGAACAAAAAACAGACCAACTGCACCCCCGCTCCTCTACCCCCCCTTCCCACCCCCCCCCCCCCACCCCCACAAAAGCTGGTTGAGGGAAGCGAATAATTAGAGGTATCTCCTTGAAAAGTCGCAGTATATTTGCCTGAGAGTCAAGGAACCAACAGACTGCATAGAAATAAGCTATATCTGTCAAATGAATGCGCACGCAAACTCGAGCTTTGCATCAAGACCAAAGATGATGAGATGACGAACAGCTTAAACTTTCCCCTTGATTTTCATCATCATTATTATGCACAGTACCGGTAACTGTAGGCTGTCATCTTTCGTCCTCTCACACGACGACGAGAATCACGGATCAGTTTTGTGTTTTTGTCACACCCCATCCATCTGGCCAGACCATCCAGGTGTTTATCTCCTTGCCTTACTCTTGCTCTCTTTCTATCAATCTTGACAAATGTTACCAAGTTTTCGAGTCTATTCCTTCTCATTGTATGTTAAAAATATACTTACAGTCTACGTCCTATTGTTCTAATACGTTTACGACATTCATCTGTTTGGAGTTTACTGCTGGCGAACACTAAGAAGGAGAAGAAGAAAAAGAAGTACCGGTGAATCAGGAGGTCAGATACAATATCCAGGGATCAAGTCAGATTTAGTCACCGGGTCTCATGAGGCGTACAAACTATTTCGCCGTTTTCTTTAAACCCTTTTTACATAGGATCGGGGTAAACAATATTTCGTTCACATGTTTCTTTAATTTTCGGCCAATAAAACAACACGTTTTGTTGGTATCTTTTAGTGCTATGGCTTACAGATTTATGCAAAGATAACCGAGAAATTACTCTCACACACACTTACACACACGCGCGCACACTTAGTTGCTGACATACACACACATACACACAGAACACACATGCGCCTACATTTAGCGGTTCTTTATTTCTGATATCATATCTACCGGATATTGTCTGTCACCTTTCATTCTTATATCACCCTTCAATCTGCAGCTCTGTATGAACAATTCCAGGAATTTGAATTCTGAGACTACTTGCAATAGAAGAATTTTGTCCTTGGGTGGTCGGTTATGGGGTGCTGTGATATCTGCTTGACAAAAACTTTTTCGGTGTATAAATCACGTCTTGTCTGCTGTCCTTCTTCTTCTTCTTCTTCTTCTTCTTCTTCTTCTTCTTCTTCTTCTTCTTCTTCTTCTTCTTCTTCTTCTTCTTCTTCTTCTTCTTCTTCTTCTTCTTCTTCTTCTTCTTCTTCTTCTTCTTCTTCTTCTTCTTTTCTTCTTCTTCTTCTTTTTCTTCTTCTTCCTTCTTCTCGTTCACCAGCTGTAAACTCCGGCGGAAAGTTCTAACTGTTCGTCCCCTTCTGGACTGCAGTCATTTTCCAGAACCTGAGTGTTGTATGTGCATCCGTTTGACAGATCTGACTAATTTGCGTGCAGACTGTTAGTTCCTCGCCTCTCAGGTGGATGCACTCTGACTTCAAAGGAAGCTCCCAATTAGTCGAATCATACGACCTGCTTTTGTGTAGGCAGTGGGTCTATTCTTGTTTTCCCTATAATAGGGCCCCAGAACCCACACGGAAACCTATCGTTATGGACTAGTTGATGGGACTGCATTTACAAAATTATCTGCTTTATAAAGTCCATGCCGTGTTGCGTTGGTAGTTATGTCTATCCACAACCTTCTGTCTGGTGTACTTTTAATCAACTCTGATACTGATTATCCTCCATGCCAAGATGTCAAGCTGTCTAGCGTTTTTTTTCCCTCTCGATCTTCCCCTGCCTCTCCTGCCCTCTATCTTTCCTACTGTAACGAGTAACTCCAGTTTTCTCCTTCTCATCACATGAACAAAGAACGTAGATTGTCTCTTTCTGATGTGGGCAATCAGTTTTCTTCGTAAGCCAGTTTCTTTCAAGACTTCTTCTTTACTTTTTGTATCCCAGGCTATTTCATTATTCGTCTTTAAAACCACATCTTCGCAACTTCCAAATAAGTTTTCACGAATTTATCAACTGTCCATGATTCACTTTCGTACATAAAAATATGATTTATACAGCTTTTCACATTTCTCTTTCTCGTCTCATTTGACAAAGAAAGATTGCATACAATCTTCTTCATCAAACAAATGCAAGCCCTTCCTAATACTAAAATACATAAATACAAAAGCAATTAGATGAAACAATTCAAAATGTAACTTCACTTCATTTTCTAGACAAGAGCCTCCTAGGATGGTAATTGCAGAAAATGCTATTACGGCTTGTTTGAGCTTGGTTGGGGTGGTACTTCTCTGCAAAGTCATTAACATCTATCAGTGGCTTTGTTTCGAGAGAGAAACTGAGAGGGGTAAACTTAGATAGCGCACATGGTTCCTGATACATTTTTAACTTTTACTAGTCCGTA